ACCGCGAACGTGTCGTGGGGCAGCGGTGCCGCAAAGGCCCAGCGGTCGCACCGGGGGTCGTAGCACTCCACCGTGCACAGGCACTCGCCGCCGATGGCGTACAGGTGCCCGTCCAGGGCAACGAGTTTGCAGCGGGGCCGCGCCTGGTTCAGGGGGCAGATCTCCCTCCAGACGTCGGTCAGAGGGTCATAGCAGAAGACGCGGTTGGAGGGTCTCCGTGCCCGGCCCGTGCCCTCGCAGCCGGACACCACGAAGAGGTAGTTGAACATGCTGCACATGGCGCAGCCCCGGGACAGCACCTCGGGTGGCACGTGGCAGAGGTGGTGCCAGCAGTCCCCTCCCTCGTCGTAGTAGCAGAGGCGGCCGGGGCGGAGGTCGGGCTCCTGCCCGCTGACATCTGCCACCACCACGAACATCTTCCCCTCCATCCTCCGCCGCAGGATCAGCTCCCGCTCGCCGGCGTTGAGGCGGCCGTAGATGGAGGGTGTCCTCAGCACCTGCAGGTAGTTGTCACTCATCACCCTGTAGGCAGCCTCCTGGAGGGCTCTGAGCCCCTGCGCCTTGGCTGTGCTGAGCACCTCGTAGCAGTTCCCCAGGTCCAGGGGGGTGTCTGGTGGCAGCTGGGTGGGGTCAGGACTCGCCACCAGTCCTGGCTGGGGGCTTCCAGGTGGTGGTGTTCCAGCTGGAGCTGTGACCCCAAACCCCTCCATGGGCAGCTGGAGGTGGGGGCTGTCGGCAATCTGGAGGATGCTCTTCCTGCGGCCGGGAGACGGTGGCTCAGGAGAGGCCTCTGAGCTCCTCGTGGGTGGTGGGACTGTGGAGGAGGTGGTGGGATCACGTGCTGCCAAAGCTGGGTCCTGCTTCTGGGTTGCAAAGCTCTGCAGCTCTTCATTGACCTGCTCAGAGCTGTGACACCGGGACATTCCCGGAGGGATGTAGGGGAGACACTTCTTCTTCAGCACCGACTCGGAGATGGACTGCACGTAGTAGTTGTAGACTTTGCCTCTGAGCCCGGGGACCGTCCAGTTGTCCCTGTCCTTCCCCTGCCTTTCGGGGATGTAGTTCTCCTCCACCTGGATCTTTGCGACCGAGGAGAAGGAGTAGGAGGTGTCGGACTCTGCATCACTCACTGTCATCAGCAGCCCCAGGTTCGAGGTGACACTGAGGGTCCGGATGGATTCCCTGTTCTCCTTGTTCTCCCTGCTCATGCTTCCACCAGCCAAATCCTTCTCCGTGCTCTGGGAACATCCATCATCTGCCATCTGGGCCTTGGAAATCCCTGGGGAGACCCCGGTGCTTGGGGCAAGTGTTTCCTTCTCGGAATGGCTGCTCAGTGTTTCAGCCACATTCCCAGGGTCATGAGAGCTCGGCTCAGTTCCCAGCTCCATTCCCAGATCATTTCCCAGCTTGCTTCCCGGCTCACTTGCCCACTCACTTCCTGCCTCATTTCTTAGCTTGCTTCCCAACTTGCTTTCCAGATCACTTCTCTGCTCAATTCCTGGCTTAGTTCCTGACTTACTTCCCAGCTTGCTTCCTGGCTTGCTTGCCAGCTTATTTCCTGCCTCATTTCCTAGTTTGTTTCCTGACTTAGTTCCTGACTTACTTCCCAGCTCACTTCCTGACTCATTTCCTAGCTTGTATACCAACATGCTTCCTGGATTATTTCCCGGCTTACTTCCCAGCTTGCTTCCTGGCTCACTTCCCAACTCACTTCCCAACTCATTTTGCAGCTCATTTCCCAACTTGCTTCCCGGCTCAATACCTGGATCACTTCCCTGCTCAGTTCCTGGCTTGCCTTCTGACTTACTTCCCAGCTCACATCCCAGCCTGCTTCCCAGCTCCCTCCCCAGCTCCCTTTCCCTCCCGGCRGGACCGAGCCGGGCTGTCCCGCGGGTC